TGTTACCAGAAACTTTTCTCCTGACATAATGCATGATCTTTTAGAGGGTGTGTGTGGTTTAGAGGCTTATCTTGCCATTGGTGCATTAATACAAGAAGGCTATTTCACTTTAGATCTACTAAATAGCAGAATTACAAGCTTTGATTATGGATTTATAGATAGCAAAAATAAGCCCTCCATAGTATCTGCTTCTAAGCTCCAAAATCCAGATGGCTGCACCCAACAGACAGCTGTGCAGATGTGGTGCCTAGTTCGGAATCTTCCTCTCTTAATTGGCGATAAAGTTCCCCAAGATAACGATTACTATGAGTTACTGTTGCTATTATTAGACTGTATGGATTTTTTATTTTCGTATGAAGTAACTGATGATGATACGTTGTTCCTCAAGCACATTATCAAAGATCACCATGAACACTTTTTAAAATTATTTCCAATGCGTCATCTAAAGCCAAAACACCATTTTATGACCCACTATCCTCGCCAAATTCGTATGCTGGGACCAATTGTACACTATTGGGTAATGCGGTTTGAAGCTAAACATGGCTTTTTCAAAAGATTGGGTCATATAGTTTGTAATTTTAGAAACATTTTAAAAACACTCAGCTACAGGCATCAAATGTACTTTTGTTACAGTATGATGGGTGCAAAGGATCTAGTTAATAGAGATCAGGAGGTTGGACCAGGGTCTTCTGTCCTCGTGGCTTCCTTTGCAAATGCTAGAGTTATGGGAGAAATACTTGGTGTTAATCTTCTGGATAAAGTTTATGTTGCCAAGTGGTGTGTTGTACATGGAAAAACATACCAAAAGAATATGGTTGTTGTTACACATAAAACAGATGATCTTGAGCCAGTTTTTCAAAGAATTGTTTATGTTGTTTGTATGAATGATGGAATTACATTGGTTACTGAACCATTTCAACTTGTAAAATTTGATAGGCATACACATTCCTATGTAGTAAAGCAAACAGCAGATGGACCGTGGAGTGCGAATAAAGTGGATAATCTGCTAGATTTTCAGCCTTA